AAATTGATTGGGTACTGCGTGGTTGAGACATGTCGCGTTATAGTGTTGACGGTAGCGCGCTGATGGGGAGGTGGCCGCTCACTTGGGGTGGCCGCTCACCTGTGAACCACGTTAGATAGAAGTATAGTGATATAATTTTTAGCTATGATATAGCTGTGTTATCTTATATTGTACTACGTATCGTTCTTATCTTTTTGTGGTTCATCACTCAGCTATCTACATATTGCGGTTGTCGACGTCGCAGTTCGTTGTCCCACGCCAGTCATTAAAGTTTTGCTGGAAAAAGTCGAGGTACAGGTCATGTCCGTGCGAACCCTCGAATGTCGTGATGTCGGCTTTGAAGGAGCCATCAGGTTCAGAGTAGCAAGCTTTGTTGTTGATGTTTGGCTTGCCGTTACCTACAGTACGAGTTAGCATCAATCATCCAATATTGGTTGGAAACGACAATCTTACCTTGAAGGATAGCGCAGAAGAGATTGAGAAGATCCCGACGTCGGTTGTCTGGGCCGGCTTCAAGGCGTACACCATATCGGCGGAAGCCGCCAGATGGCCAGTTATTGTACCAATTGGCTCGAATCCAACAGTCCGCTCGCTTCTCAACATTCTCAACATTCTCGATTCGCGCGGGATCAGCGGCTGGCTTGGTCAGTATTGCTGAAGTTGGTGAAAATGTGTGGTCTGGAAAGCTTACTGCGAACTTCAATGTCTGCTCTTTCTGTAGACTCCGGGATTGCTACAGCAGCGGCCAACAAGGGCGAAAGAAGGCATGCAATAACAGCGACAGAGGGGGTCTTCATGTTGGCTGATTTGTTGGGAAGTCTTGAAACTAAGGAAGTTTATGAAGCTTTACAAGTGAGTTGGTCAGTTGGTGAGTGGTGAGGATTCAAACTTACAACGTCGAGGGTATGATACTTATACTTCGAGTCGATAGGTACGTCGCGCAGGTAGCTATTTCGGGCGTAGCATTACTCCTGCAACTGTAATATAGTAACTGGAGGCCGGACCCTTTACCTGAATGTATGTTTAGGCGGCCTCGTTCCCTTAGGCAGCCTGCAGATACGGTACAGTGAGAATTAAGGCACTCTCTTGTCACTTGATATAGCAAAGATATTTTTCTGATTCTAATGGCTCCAAAGCAATTGTGGGTATAAACTACAAAGGGCGAGCAAGATAGGTATCATTCCTCAAAACTGCCAGATAGGCCTATGACTGTCAATGATGATTATCATCAATGGTGGTTAGAATATCTGCGTTAGATCAGATTCAGCCGGTATTGGTGTTGCATTGGCAAGGCCTCCAATGTGGTCGTAAACCCCAAGCTCATTATTGCGTTTCGGGAATTAAGGATTTTTCTGTGCTTGATGGAATTCAACCCTGGCTTACTCCTGGTCGTTTTTGTGGGGTATTCAGGCCTTCCTTTTCCCTATATCAGATGTCTTAATGCTGGAAGTCACTGGAAAGTGATGCAAGGACCCCTTAAATTTTGTGGAGCTGCCAATCATAACCGAAAAGCAGCAGCGAAGGGAGAACATAGCTGCTATTTCTCTACAGAGTAGATTCCCTTTGCCTTTGCTGCATCAGCAAACTCATAATGTAAGCATGTTCGTCACGCCGCCAGACATACCTAGCACAGCAGCTATGGACCTGCTGTATCCAGACTCTGCCAGGTAAAGCTTGGTGGATAGGACATCCACACAGGCACAACGGATAACACGGCGCCTTCTTAGGCGTGCACTTCAACATCCTTTGCCGGTGTTGGTTTAGTGTCTTCTAGGCCCATACATACCAAGTCAGGATACGGCCCTACTCCTATTGTAACACGGTGCATGTTTCCGTTGCCAATGAGCGTACTTACATAGGTGTATGTAAAAACATAGTCCAGCACCGATCACATAGTGCACCTAGTCTTTCCACTATCATCCAAACTCGTACCATACACTCCATGTGTGGCTGTCGCCGCTGCTTCCCCCACGCAGGGCGGGGCCGTGCCGCGCCGCTGCGCCACGCCAGCTGCGGTAGCGCCTCCATCAATAACCCGCACTAGCCCATTCCGTACTTTCCTATGCTAGTTCTTAACCAGGAAGTCGTTGCGGACCAATCGCATCTCCAATCTTTGTATTGCCTAAGCATATAAGCAGGCGTGCCTGCCAGCTACTCGTCTGCAAAATAGTCTGTATTTATAACGCTCAAATAGTTGCGAGTTCGATATGACGCTTGAAGGCACAGCACGCTCCCCACCAAACTTGGCACTGCAATACCTACAGCCTTGATAAAAGCCTCTCATTGGAGCTTAGGTCCTAACCAAAAAGTTCAATGTACAGTGATTGCAGAAGGGAACTTGTAATTCAATCAACCATCCCACGGTGGCACCTAGTCCAAGCACCTTGCGCGCTACGCACCATCCAACTGATCCATAGTTTTTATCTCAATGGATCGTTGTCGGGTATGTTGTAGAAGAATTGTGAACAGGATAATTCTATTCGGGTCGTCTATTAGATGTAGCATCGTTGGCCTCAGCTAATGAGATTCAGGGATGAGATATGCATCAAACCCGGCCACAAAGTTTGAAGGTGAGACTTGAGGAACCAAGGTACTTTATCATGAAGAAAGATTTTTAGGCATTTATGACAAGCTGTGCACGCTAGACATTGAAACTATGGTGCCAAGTTGAGCCTGGCTTGGCTGTTGCGGGATCTATCGACTGGTCGTCCCAAGCAAACTCCTCCTTTGAAACATTCTGCTGTTGGATCTGAGCCTTATCTTTGGTGACGTTGTGTTCGATTCGGAGTAGTTGGCAACTGTCTTGAGTGGTTGAGAAAAAGGTTCAAATTGCCTGCCTTGTCTAAAAAGAAGAACACATTAAGAGGAAAACTCCTGCCTGTCCCGACGTTTACCTGCTCTTCCAAATGATTTGATGCAATAGCTTCTACGTCAACTCTCCATTTTCAGTAAGAGGATCTTTGATACGCACGATGTATTAGTCATTGGAATAGGTTTGATGAAGACATTGTAAGATGTCTTGGCCTCCGCGGACGCGCCTTCATCGCAAACGAATACACGAAAATTGTCTCTTGGACAGTCAAGTGCGCAAGCATCTATCTTATTTCAAATCCTCTTGCCAGCAAGCGACAAGGACATCGGCATTTGGGACATGGCCGCCCATGATCATAAGCTTTGTCGTGTGTGGTAAGCGAAACGCTAGAGCTTGAAATACATACGGCAACCCATCTAATACCACGCAAAAAATTAGATCACGGCACACAATGGCGCGATAGGTTGAGCGCGCTCAAACAGAGCATTTTAGTAGCGTACAGAATTCAGGTCGACACAGGGGGCGGCGTCTTTCTGAGTGAGTGACAATCCTTTCTCAGTCAACTTTAATTCACAAATGTCAGATATTTGAAACAATAGCTGATGTAACAGTCTCGCCATCTTGTATTGAAAAGTGCACTGTGTAAGACGTAAAGCTACGTTGCCTGTTGAATCTGTAGTTGCAAGGCACAAATGTACTATAGAATGCAGTAACCTTAATACCTATCTTGGTAGTCATAGTGAGCATCATGAGGACGGCTACGAACTCGGGCATAACACTTTGATTTTCAACCAAGATATATTCAAGGCTGGACGAATCCCATAATCGACGAACTAGAGAGTGACTTGTATGTTCGGCTGTATCATGCTCTTTAATAAGCGTCAGTCAGCCTCGTTTTCGATAAGCATATACAAGTTCCAGAGGGCAATGATTCAAGATCCTTATATGTCGAATTTGGGGGAATAAGTAACTTTTGCTTATGCTTTGATGAGATCTGGCGCAAGTAAGCAATCATGATTTCGTCTTCTTGATCATAATAGGCCACACCCTCTTGTTCTTTTATTCAAAATTCTATTCAAGTTAGGCCCCTGACAATTGTCTACCTATAGTTTACTGGTGTATATGCTAAAATTTATCTTTACTCCCCTTCAACCTCGTCTGTGGTTTGGTTCTACGTTTGTTTCTCTCCTAGAGTTGAGCTCTACATGAAGGCAGCTATGTATTTACCGATGGGAACGCGGGGCTGGATCTAACGCATTAATACGCGCGTCCATCAATTCACGGACTATGCTCGGGATTTGAGATATGAAGAGGCTTACAACCATGCAAGAAGGCGTAGTGCGATTGATTCTGAGCTTGAGAGATGTCTGACTGCACAGCATCAAGCTAGAGCCTTACCATCTCACACAAGACGGCTGGGCTATATGTAAGCACCAATCATCATGTTGCAGGCGCTGGAGCCAAGAACCCTAATTACGACTTGGACAATCTCGGTAGCAGAAAATGAGTTGGGTAGAAGCCAGAGGATAGGGAATGTCAGTCCTGGTATCATCTTTCCATTCTCACAAAAGGTCCCGAACAAAATCAATATTTCATTTTGCTCACCAAGGCCATCTAAACTTCTTGTGATTATCAATTATACTCAAGGCACAGTGGTTGGACAAAACTCAAAATCTCGGTGATTAATCCTGGTAACAAACACTTCCTTTATCCAGTGCAATATAGTAGTTTTAGAGTGTGATCTATTTTTGAACCCGATCACAGAGCTTGACTCAGTATATGGTCAGTAAAGTCTTCTTCTGAACTACTGGACTCTAAGGGTCGATTTACGACATGCGTCGTTGTCTGCTCTTAATCTTGAAGGTAGTTTGGATATTAAGGTGGACGAAGACATTGATGATATTAGGCTTCCTTCGTTGCTCAATTAAAGCTATCCTTTCGCCGCTGTACTGTTACAATACATCGCTTCGTAACTGCACAGCTCAATTGTGATCAAGCCGCTGGACGATTGGATGTCGCCCCACCACCCCGGATTTCCCCAGCGCACGTGGCACGTTCACATGCCTCGGCTCAAACACAGCAGGCGTCATGGCACGCACATGCAAGGTACACCACCTTCAACCACCCGACGCGATCTTCCCACTCCACGAAGTGCAAATCGTCCTGGAAAGGATGTTCACGGCCAACCATGGCCGCACAATCTACTTTACGGAAACCTCATGACCCGCTCTTAGCCCTCTACGACCACTATGCCACTCTTCTCAAGTCTCGCGTCCGGGGTGCATCCAAGCTTACCAAGCTATTGTCCACTATCACCCTCCTCTTCACCATCATAGGCACTGGCTATGGAGGCCAGCGACTATACAAAAGCCGACGCGCAGAAAAGGAGACAGGCCGGCGGCTTTTGAGGCGCAATTCGGGGCTGAAGAACAAAGATGGCTCCAGGACAATCTACGTGCCCAATCGCGACTCTACATCCAAAGTCGTCATACATCCCACTAAGCAGACAACCTTTGATGCCCATCGCAGGCTCTTTCTTCAACCTCCACGCGCAGCGCGCATGGCCGACACACATCCAAACGACCCACAAGCACCGCCTCCACAGACCAAGCCTGGCCTGAACCTCGCGTTTCTGCATCAGTTCCTCAGCTTGCTGAATATCATGATACCAAGGTGGAATAGCAAGGAGACGGGTCTATTGGTCAGCCATAGCGTGTTCCTCATGCTACGGACGTACCTTTCCTTGGTTGTAGCCCGGCTTGATGGCGAGATCGTGCGAGATCTTGTTGCAGGCAACGGCAAGGCATTTCTTTGGGGCATTGTTAAGTGGCTAGGCGTTGGGACCTTTTCATCTTACACCAACGCCATGATAAAGTTCCTGCAGAGCAAGGTGTCCATTGCTTTCCGCACCCGGCTGACGCGATATATTCACGATCTTTATCTGAACGACCATCTCAACTACTACAAGCTACAGAATCTGGATGGAGGCGTAGGACTCGCCGATCAGTACATTACGCAAGATTTGACCTTGTTCTGTGCCAGTGCTGCATCACTGTATTCCAGCCTGGGCAAGCCGTTTGTTGATCTTTGTGTCTTCAATTATCAACTCTACAAGTCTCTGGGGCCATTAGCCTTGACGGGGCTGCTCAGCAACTACTTCTTGACAGCGACGGTTTTGAGAAAACTCTCACCACCCTTTGGTAAACTCAAAGCAGTAGAAGGACGAAGAGAAGGCGAGTTCCGGGCTCTCCATTCGAGACTCATTGCAAATGCAGAGGAAGTCGCCTTCTATGGCGGTGACGAAATGGAAAAGCATTTTCTCGAGCGTGGCTTCAAGGACCTCAAGCACTGGATGGAGGGCATCTACAGCCTGAAGATCAGATACAATATGCTTGAAGATTTTGTGTTGAAATATTCTTGGTCGGCGTTTGGGTACCTAATCACATCTCTCCCAGTCTTCTTGCCAGCCTGGGGCGGCCTGGGCAGTGCGCCAGAGGTCCCGGGGAGCGAGCGTACAGAACGCGAGCGAAGTCGCATGAAGGATTTTATCACGAACAAGCGACTTATGTTGTCACTCGCAGACGCTGGTGGCCGAATGATGTACAGCATCAAGGATTTGTCCGAACTCGCAGGTTATACCTCGCGCGTTTACACACTTATTAGCACGCTTCATCGCGTCCACGCTGACGCATACTACCCCCTTCCAGGCACACGCCCAGAGCTTTACTCGGTCTCTGACATCCAAGGCACGGTACACAAAGGCTTTGATGGCATTCGCCTTGAACACGTGCCCATTGTTGCGCCAGCTTTGCATCCAAGAGGAGGTGAAGAGTTACTCGAATCGCTTTCTTTCATTGTGCACTCTGGCGAACATCTTCTCATCACTGGCCCCAATGGTTGCGGTAAGAGTGCTGTCGCGCGTATCGTCGCCGGCCTATGGCCTGCATATCGGGGCCTCGTCAGCCGCCCACGCACTATTGGCGTAGACGGCATCATGTTCTTACCTCAACGGCCATATCTATCCACTGGCACGCTCCGTGACCAAGTCATCTACCCACACACCGACGCTGACATGAAGGATGCTGGGCGCCGCGACCTTGAGCTCTCCCAGATCCTAGAAGAAGCTAAGCTGGGCTACTTGCCCGATCGCGAAGGCGGCTGGGACACCAAGAAGGTGTGGAAAGATGTTTTCAGCGGTGGAGAGAAGCAGCGCATGGGTCTCGCTAGGTTGTTGTATCACGAACCACGCTACGCCTTCATCGATGAGGGCACAAGTGCTGTTAGCAGCGATGTCGAGGGTCTACTGTATGAACGCGCAAAGGCAAAGGGAATCAGTAAGTTAACCAGACTTGTTCTTCTTTCCAAAACTTTCCACCTGGTTTACTGACTCTCCAATCTAGCTCTTATCACTATATCTACTCGCGCTAGCTTAAAGCGTTACCACACCTTCACCCTCACCCTCGGCATGGGGGAGCATGGCGACGAATGGGAGTTCCAGCGTATTGGCACACAGTCTGAGAAGTCGAGCGTAGAAAAGGAACTAGCGGAGCTCAGGGAGCGCTTAGCTAAGGTCGAGGGTTGGAAGAAGAGGAGAGAGGAGATTGAGGCCGAGTTGAATAGGGTGTGGGTTGAGAATGAGAATGGTGAAGATGGAGAGAGGGAGGAATTGGCGCCGCCGCCATATCTAGAGAAGGAAGAGCAAGATGTATTAGAGAATGAGGTCACTGAGTTGAACATGGGAGATAATCTGGGCGAGGAGAATGTGACGGGGGTTTCTGGTGATGGTATGTAATCTGGAGCGGAAGTGAAGGGATGCGGTGGAAACGTTTGGTTTAGGCATGCGTAGAAATCAGTTTGCTGATTGAAAACATACTTGTATTCTTACGTTACTAGAGCCTTGTCCTCATCTTTGTAGTTGTCTGTGAGACGGCTTTTGTGCGTCTTTCACGTCTTCGCATGCAAACAATCATGCGAAACAGTTGGTAGCTTGATATTTCTACACACCTCCACTCGCAGTCGTTGCGGCTCGGCTGAATTCTACATGAATTGGTCAAATAATGAGAATCTGCAATTCTTTGAACGGTCGACATCGTTCTGCTACAACTTTAGTGGTGTTTCATGAAGGCTATTGTGTTGGGCGCAGACTCCGCCCCACAACGTGACCACGTAGTCTTTCTTGCAGCGTCTACTTATGGCATGTAAATACGCATACACGTAGCGCGCTTTTAATGCATCAATCCGCATCGCAAGATGAAATGCACGTGGTGATCTGCTGCAGAAGTCTGCACAGACTGTATTGCGACAGTACACTAGTGAGTCGGAAAATGACGATCGTCCCGCTGTTCAACAACTTCACGATTTGGGTGATCACACGTAAGGCTAGTTCTATTATTGAATCTCTCGACTGAACCCATGCCTGGTTAGATGCCAACCAAGGCGCATTGATAAGATCATACACCTGGTTTTCACATCTCAAACTTGCCCCTGGTATTCGTGACGTAGAGTCCCTACCCCTTGACTCTGGGGCTGCCGCGGTCAGCTTGACAGTCAAGGGGCTACCTGACACTTTTTGAACTACTCGTCAAAGTCCTACAAACACCTTTCCCTGGATCACAGGGTCTTCTTTCGACACCGCTCCGGGTACACGTATTTAGATGGCTTTTGCACCCAAGGGAGAGGCAAACCGACTGGCTCATTTCTTGTAATAAACCGATAGCTGAATTATCATGTCGGGTATAGGAAGGGTGCGGAAAAAGTACATCTATCAGCTGGGAAGTGGTATATGTGTGAAATGATCGGCAATTGATGATACGAGGCGGGTACATGATACCGAAGCAATAACAGAATTGCTATGTTACCAAGCTTGAAGAGGGAAAAACTTTGATTGACTGGGGCAAGAAGAAGTAGACGGTAGAGCAGGTTTCGCAAGTCCTTGCACCTGTACCTTCACATTATAGGACCTGGTGATAAGGGGGGGTCAATCATGCTTTGGTATCCGGAACCAAAGATTGCCGCTTACATATGCAGCCCTTGCGAAGATCTTTATGTAGGTACGAGTGTACATGGTAGATACTGGATGCGCAGTTAGTGCTCCACACTTGGACGACTGAAAGGACCCTGATGCCTGAACCCTTGCGATCTGGACCCTGCCATTGGTGAGGGTCCTGTGGCGAACCTGATACTAAGGACAAATTTATCAGGGTCAGTGCAGAAGTATCGAATAGAACTAGCCCAGTGTTCACCTTTCAGTGCTTATCCACATCTTGGATGTATCTACTACGTACTTGGATACCTTCGTTACCAGCCACTGTTGGCACAGTGCAGTGTAGTACATCTTAAGCACAAACGCAAGCTGACGAGCTGACGAGCTGACGAGCTGGACAGACACATACTGACCCTTGCAACAAGCCATCTTTTTCGCCTGAGCACGGCAGAGCATGGCCTTGTACGCTGAAGGTCGAGTAAGTTGAGCGTGAGCGAAGTAAAATGACGTGCTGGCTGTCAAGTCCTCGCCGAATAGAGGTAGCAACGAGGGCGTTATGCGCGCAGTCGCCTTCGGCACTTGGGCTGCGCAGGTCGATCCTTTGTACGCGAGCCAACGAGAGGCGTTCTGGAGCGGTTTGGGCTGCGAGGCTGGAAACACGATGGGCGGTGGTGGTGGAGAATGCAACCGAGATCAGCTTGAAGGATGCGGCAAGCGAGGTTTGTCCCCGAGTGGCGCTAGCGGCGTGTTGAGGCCGCTGATTGGCCCCCCAGGCCATGCATCGCGTGGCTCAGGGTCGATGCGACGTTTAGACGGTCCGACTTGACATGTTCGATACTTTGCCCTCTCCACAAAAGGCCCGTCTCATCACAGCACTCTGCCGCCCGGTGCATTCGTATGTGCGTACGTGCGATGCTTGGGAGATTGATCTCACCAACTAAGTACAGAGTACGAGCCGCAAGCTGTGGCAGGCCAGTCAGCCCTACCTCCATACGATTATGACGTCAGGAACTAGAGAAGAGCATGGGTGAATTGCGGACCGAACCTCGACATTGCTGCTGCTGCTACGGGTGACGATGATGATGACGATGATGATGATAACAGCAGCCTGCTCCATCTGCGCAAGTCTACAAGGGCTGTTTCCTTGTGTGGTGAGGTGGTGCTGTTCAGGTACAGAGTCTGAGACGCTAGTCAGCTGGTCCTGTCCAATGGGAATTTCTGCCTCACCGAGGTATCAAGCCCCAGCCATCGACGCCCGATCCAGGAGTCCAGGTCGCCATGCCCAAGTTGTGAAGATCACTCCTTTTTGGATGCATCCCTGTACAAATCCGTAGCAATGATAATGCTGCTGGCCAAGTCGACCCATTCTCGACTTCAAACATCATCATTATCACGGCCAGCGTAGACGACGACCAATTTCACCCGCTTGGGGGGAATCACTGGAGGAAATGGCTTGCCCAAATGGTTCCGTACCATTGCTGTTGCCGTGGACCAACCATTCAGTCTCCGCTGATGGTGCAATCTTTTCCAAAGGCATCTCGTTCGCCATTGGCACTCCTCCTCAGCTCTTTTCTTTAACCCCTTCGACAACTTTGGACAATGCTTTCGTCAACAGCGTAACAGAGTGTGGATCGGCCACGAACAGCAGTTGCATTGGCCAACTAGGCGGCATCTACAATAGTGCAGCCTCAACTTCGTTTGCCCAGGTCGACTACGCAGCGTGGCCAGGGAGCAGAGAGTCCGTAAACATGGCATCCGGAAATTCGCACATCTTCTTTACCGATGCTGCAGCCTTTGGCCCAAAGAACGCCACCAATAAGTTCCCCGCCTTCCCTATGTATACCAACAGTTCCACAGACAGTGAGTAATCCAGGTAGAGATGCTCAACGGGTACAACACTAACATACATGAGCAACCGTGGATTCTTTCACAGAGTATGATCCAGGGTTCCGAGCAACTCTGCCTTTGGGAATGGATTCCAGCTTTTTGAACTTCCTTGTCGATTCAGGTCAGGCTTCGTCACGGACGTACGGGTTGTGGGTTGGCTCAGAATCAGAAGACGCGCCACAGCCCGGCTTGCTGATAGTTGGCGGGTATGACGAAAGTCGACTCAAAAGCCCTGCAACCAAATTTCCTATGTTTTCAGATTGCCCTACATGCGCTGTACTCACTGCAATCACTTACGACGTCGGTGGTACCAGTACCACGCTTTTCGAAGACGCCAAGGATACACTTACTGTATACCTCGATCCCTTCTCCTCCGATATCAGATTCCCACAAGCAATGTTGAACAAACTCGCAGCTGCTGAAAAGACGGCTGTTTGGAACGAGACATCACGCCATTTCGAGCTCCCTACTAGTCCTGCCCCTGCAGGCACAATTACCATTACGGTATCCGACATGGGCAGTCCCGCCGGCGATGCATCGAAGCCTTCGGTCGCTTCATACAAGACTGTAATTCCAGCATCCGAGCTTTACTACCGACCCCGAGCATACAATTCCGCGGGAGTGTTCGAAGTGAACAACGCAACAGTATTCAACATGGCTGTAACAAATCAAACAGAATCTGTGACTGTAGGAGTTCTGGGATTTCCTTTCTTCACCCAGAACTACCTTATTGTCGATCCCGATGCTGCAAACTACGAACTCGCACCAGCTGTCGTTGCAGCGGCCGATCCCATGGGCACGGATGCCAAGGTAAAGCGAGTATGTCGCGTACTCCCCGGTACCAAGCAGTCATCACAAACAGCAGCTCTAGCAGGAGCGGTTGTAGGATCCGTGATTGGCACCCTCTTCCTCGTCACCCTGGCCTGGTACATACGCAGGCGAAGAAAGCACACGAAAACTCTAAGTGAGACAAGTCAGAGACCGGTCATTCACCGTTTAGGTGCACAAGAATCAGAAGAGAGTAAGTCTCTCGAGTTGCCACGCCAAGGACTACCCCCGCCGCCACAGCCGGCGGCTGCTGCTGCTTCTTCCACACTAGAAACTGGCGGTATTACATTTCCCTCGCCGCCCTTTGGTCGCAAGAAAAGCGCGCGCAACGGAAATCAAGAGGATCCCCGGAGAGGATTAGTTCATGATACCTTCAAGAGAGTAGATGAAGTAAACGATGGCAGACTTCTGGATGAAAGACCATTGGGACTGAGTGAGACGATTCATTCACGTGGGACCCTACCGAGATTGGCCGCAGAGCACACTGTTGAATAATGTGAACATTGAGATCGGTACTTGTATCCGGGAGGCTACTTTCCCTAACCTATTCTTTCAGTCATGTGTTATTATACCTAAAGGCGGAAAACTACCATTGCGCGATTTGCGCCAGTCCACATCAGCTAGACTTGATTTCCTTCAAAGCTAGTTCTTATATACATACTATCACTAATCTCTCCCTTTCATCCATTTCCGCTACTAGTAACATGATCTTTAACAAGAGACTCATTGTCTGCTAAAGGCTTGCGTACAATGTATTCCTACATACTCAGATGCGATGAATTTATCAAATTAATATTATAGGGAATAAGTAACGCTACTGCTCCTTACTTTATCGTGTAGTATTCTACAATTCACTATAAATGCATGCAAATTAGAACTCGGCTAACATGGCTTCTATGCTAATCTTTTACGGTCCTGAAGTAGGAAAATCAACTTTGCTTAACAATGCTAATTGGCCGACTGCATCACCGGCGAAATTTCTCAGCCGAAAATGAGACTAACGTCTCTCGAGGCGTTAGGGAACACCAGTTTGTATCCACGGTCTTTGTTGGAAGTTGGCACAATCTTTTCAGGGATTTTCCTATGAGATGGTCTAGGGGTTTGCACGGTACACGGCTCCTTATGACAAAATGCAAATCGAGGCCGATAGTTGCTTATAGTGTCATTTTGACATTAGAAATGCACTGGATAACTCCTTGGCTCTAAATAAAGTCTCGTATTCACAACACTTATGCAATCATACGGGAAGCCCGTATTCCAATACATTACTGGATTGCTTCTGTTCCTTAACTATATGGAATTTAAAGTAAGTTGTATGAAGATACTAACGAGAGCTCTAAGTTAAAAATAGAACAGTCCGTTAAGCAGCACATGGTATGGCGGGCCTAGACCCCGACTGTTAGGGCGGGAGGCTGCGAAATGGTTAGTAGTTTAAATAAGATCCATCTTCACTCATAGAAAACAAACGCCAGGAACTAAACACTAGCCCGGAATCCAAAAATCTCTCAAGGATCCTTCTAGAAATTTAGTTTCGTCTGAATGCTATATACAAAATTGTGTCTACCCGCGTTTGTTTCTATTATGCAACCTTCGCACTATCCAAGGTACAAACCAGCTAATCAAAGATGATCCTCTAGAATTAACCTCTGTTTTTTATCTTATAGTTGAGACCGAATAGTTCTGTACACTAGAGATAGGAGTGAAACAAGAGTAGAAGCGACTTATGTTACTAAATTTACCAGACAAGCCACCACGGAACTACTCAGCCCAACGGAGAACTCCTCTTCTTTATATTACTAGGGTTGATTCCTGCTAAAAGGATAGAGAGTAGATTTTCAATCACTGACGTGGAAAACGAGAAGTGCCCATTGAAAGCAACATTTCTCTTATTCGTCTTTCCTTCTCCTCTCCTTAGCATAGATTTCTATGGGCCATCGTTTGTTTTGTTTTGCTTCTCTAACTCTCCCTCAACTAAGGATTTCTTCTATCTACTATCAATTACTAAAATGGTTTTTGTTTGCGATGTACTAAAGGCTACAGATTAACGCATACCTGTAGTACCCTGATGGATTTGGAGGAAATGATAGTAACGCTTATTGGAGATTATTCAAACACATATTCTGGTGTAACAGCAGCTTCATAGTAAATGAGCTTAGGAACCTGAGCTACTAAGATTGCATAGCACTACCTCACTCTCTAGACACTCCAGGAAATAATCGCAATCATATTTTTCGCCAGCGACGCTGTTCTTACATACGTACTACCACGAAAAGCTTAAGATACTTAATTGTGTTTGTAAGAAAGTTCGCATAAAGGAAAGTATAGCTAGATTTGAGAGCGGATCATCTGTAGATATGGGAATGCTCTCATTATCTGACAATGATTTGATGCATACGGAATTTACACTTAACATAATAAGACCAGGGCTGTATTTGAATATCATCCAACAAATACAACGGACAAGCATACACACTCAGCGGCTATAATAATCGTCACGAGACTGAACCCAGTAACCCAAAACGAGATTGAGACACTTTTTTCTAAACAAAACAATACTGCAATGAACCTCATTACCTATTCCCAAACCGCACCTCCCCACCGAGTCTTTTAACTTCATCCAGAGCACTATCCCTCTGCGCCTCCAAGTCCTTGATGTAATCGATTGCCACTGCCAGCACTGCGCTTTTGCTTATCCTCGCACCGCCCATGACATTATCCGAATCGGCTCGAAGCAAGGACGGAACAGCTCGACGTAGCCGCTCCAACTCCGTGTTAAGCTTCTCCCTATACTTGCGTTCGACTTCTGTATGTGGTATGCATTGCGGCCGCTCGACCTTTTTTGAAACGATGCTTGCTGGGACCTTGGAGGCTGCTGGTGGGAGCCGGGGGCGGCCTCGCTTGCGTCTTGTAGGCTCGGACTTGACGTGTATAAAGGTTCGAGAACAGGTCGAAGGTGACGGAAGACGTGATTGCGTTGCTATTTGGGGTGAGATGGCTGGAGATGAGGGACTGCTACTGCAGGTGTGTATCGAGTCGGCGGTGTGATGAGTTTCCATTATTTCAGCATCGTGAGCATGTTTTCCGTATGCTAGATCCCCAGAGTTGAAGTTTGGCCATGTTTTCAGATGGCTATCGCTCACTGCGAATGCGGAGTTGGTTATTGGATTTGTACCAGGGAATGTGCTAGGTGATGGACTGTCCCAAGGGCCGATTACGTCCAGCGGTTTCGTCATCGAATAGGAGTGTGGGTTGTCATCGAAAAAGGAGTCCCTGAAGTAATCAGAGGCATATGTGTAAGAGTCTGCAAAGTACAAGTCTGGCTCTCTGTGCGAAAGGTAAGACTCGCTGTCAGGGGAGTAATGTGTATAGGCGTTGCGAGGGCCTCCGTGCAAGCTCGAGAAGTCCATAGTGTGATTCGTTTTCGAAATAGAAGGCTTTGATGCTTTGTTACTTTCTTGCACCAGACACACCTGGGTCATTTAGAGGAAATGATCTATACCAACAGATATACTAAAATCTCGCCGACTCTTCAGCTTTGTCCTTGGCAAATGCGGTCAGCCCTATATTCAACCAGAATCGGATCCGCCAACGCGCACCTGTGGAGCAATTAATGGCCGATGCATGACATATTGCAAAAAAAATGAAACATAGGGTTATTGCGACCGTTGCATCGCCTATGTTCTAGACCGCTCGGAGCGAAGCGAAACGAGCGGAGAAGCTCTCACGTGCAAAACTCCAGTCGCTCAGCCGCAGAGGATGCGGCCTGATAAGATTACCCCGTAAGCTCCTCTGCCATGACGATATTCGCCACTGAGCGGTCAACAAATTTGGCATTACTCATACAAAATGACTTCAATTGTCTTTTGTGATATTTATTTGAGATAGAGTAGTTTTGACTTGCACCTGATGACCCTCTGGATTGCATAGTGAAGATGATGCAATGCTGCGCAATTGTGCATTGCTCGCCGTTCGATGTGCGGGGGGATTTTGAGTGTTTGGCCATGCATATTCCGCCCAATGGTAACGAGCAGCGAGTGGGTCATTGGGTTAGGGGGATCCAACCAAATGAGTATAGTATTCTTTACTTCGCCGAACAGTACAGCTGCTGCACTCGTCACCGCCTCCAGAAGACATGCTAAAAAAGATGCCTTTCAACACACAGTTGAGCAGCTCGAACCCTCATATCGCTTGTGGCTGAGTGCACTTTGCCTGCACGTGGGCTATTGTAAGAATGCATGGCATAATCTGCATCTAAATTACCCTGCAGATACTTTCCGTCTTTCGGTTACATCAGAGGTGACATACAGTAGGATTTACGAAGACTTTCTCGGACTTCAGTTCCAACTTGGACCAGTCTTGACAACATGTACCTGTTATTCACACCTAGCGATTGCAAGGTAAAGTGATGTCTCTTCTACCTGATGTGATACGTGAGTTTACTTAGCGCTCAACTAGCTTGTTTATGAGAGATGATATTATGAAAAAAGGCTTTCACTACTTCCACATCCCATGCGCTTCGCAGAAGGGCCGCTCTTGTTTTGCTCCAAAGATCAATTGTCCAAGCACTCTCATGGGAAAGACCCTCGAGACGTTAGGTGGGGCCGAACATCTTCGGCATGGATGCAACATACTGAGAAACAAATGTAACAATGTGTCCACCTTTTCCACTAAACTACAATCGCTATACGCCGCAATAAGCACTGTACCATAATTAGAAGAGTGGCTCCCAGAGCAAAATCAGCCACAAAAGTCTTACAAGTAGAAATTTGGCCGACGGTCCTATCAGGATCTCCGATGCATGTTCTTATGCATTTTTCAGCCGCTTGGGCAATGCCATGTGTCTGTGCCTCGACTGCCAAGCTCGTTCGTGTCATCAACACTGGCAACTATAATACATCCTTCGAGAACATAGAGCCACTGGATACAACATGCCACTTGCATTATCCTACAAAAAAATGAGCATATATCTGATCAACACTTTGAGCACTCCCACTACTCTCATATGGTCACTCATGAGTGCTAACATCCTTTAGCTAGCTGTTCATTTTCCAGAGATTTTCCAGAAATTTTCCAGAAATCCAGCATCAGTCTTGCTAAGATATTGGTTTTCTAGAAGGAAACGATACATATCTATCCGATACCTGTGGACATTGGCCGCTCATAAAGCTTATTAGACTACAAAAGTCGTTGCTTTGAAGCCTTATCCTAGGTATCAAGCCACTGATAGGAGCACGAATCAAATAAGGAACGAACTCGATGACTTTGTAGGAGACGAAGCGGGCCTCAAGGCTCCCTGAGCTTGCACTGAACAATGTAGCCTAATTGTCAGAGGCTTTAGAACAGCAGATTCAATCTGTGGTGCTACTAGAAGAACAAAAAGCCCTGTGTGGCTAGGTGGGTTGTGATCGTCAACACCAAATATAGAAACTGAGGCGCTGGACGCGAGCTTCATTCCACATGCGTCTCGAGCACCATGAACATCATTCTGAACTACTCAATCTCTCTTTCCCGACGAAGCTCAACACCTCTTCTCTTTATCAGGTACATCGCATTTTTACATCTTCTGTCTAATCTTGGGCAATACTTGCTTAGTCTGGCATAGCTATGCAATATTGCCTAACCAGTCCCCTACTCCTACGTTGCCCCATGAGGCTACTGTCAACATGTTTTGCCTCAGTCCTCAAAAAAACTCAGAATATCGTTGGCGCAGTATTAAAATTTACCGTTTACCTATGCTTTAACCCATTTTAACTCAAAACAACGGTTGTTAGCTGCATCATTACCATGACAAAATACATTCATCTTATCTTTTTCACTAGTTCCTCAAGTCACCTAGTGGTACTCAGAATGAATATCTCTAATATGTTTCCTGGGACTGTAATAGAAAGACTATGGCAACTCCTATAACAATTTTCTCGTCGCTCAAGAATTTGATAAATGCACTCAATGCGGTGCGCCCGACGGGTACTTCCTCGTTGGACTGAGAATCCCTCATATGGGTTTGTGTTTCTGGCATTCACAGTAAGACTAGAAAAGTGAAAAACAACGATATCAAGTATGCGGGAATAGGCAGCCACAAGGAATGTGGAAAGTAGCGCATGCGGTCGAAGGGGCAATCATATTTGTGATCAGCGAAGCTGTGAAGACATGATAGAAAGATCCACTCCTGTAAGTGATATGAGTAAGACTTTGGACAAATGCTGCAATAATCCAGATACCTTGTCTCACATGTTGAAAGATCAGAAGCCATGGTATGGTAAGGAGTAATGGCAAGGTTAGGGCCGCCTCCAATTAGGCGAAATGTAGATGAAGTCCGTATTGTCACGAGTATTATCCTGTCCTACAAACTGCCAATATCAAAAGTTATTTGCGTAGCATTGGGGGAGACGGGAGAATCGAACAAACAAGGTAGATGCAGGCCATTTGGCAAACGATACCAGATGCAGCCAGCGCGAAAGGGCCTCTCCGACCTTTGCGATCAGCTAGAGAGCCATAGAAGGATCCGAAAAGGATAATTGCAATGTGTGTGCATTGAAAAGGCAGATAGGGATGGATGAAGTACCTGGCACTGTATCCAACAGATTGAGAAAACCTCGTAGATGCGCGAGTTTGGACTGAATGATAGGCATCTTAAACATGCTCTCCTCGATGTCGTCAACGTCTGGGTCATCAAAATAGTACTGAGAAAAGACGACATTCTCCAATAACCGAGTAGTTGGTGCCCTTTGCACACTTTCTGCAAGCTTCAAGAATCCGATCAGAAGGATAACGAATATTAGCTTCGGCGAATGGGCTGTCCATTGCTCGATAAGCACATTGAAGCGACGGAGAAATTGGAGCAAACGCATCGTGAAGTGAGTATGTGCAAGCAGGGTACCATGTAATTGCTAGAAGTCCTTGTGAAATGGGTGTCTCGCGCATGGCCAGCGATGAGCACATGAAACGATTGTCGACGTCACATAGCAAACTCCACACTCTAGAAGCAACTTTTGAATGGCAATATATATGGCAGTGTATCATGGTAGACTACTGTCTCACCAACAAGGCATTATCTACACCACAGGAAGCGTCGGATCCGGATGCGGCGTTTGAAAGCCCGATATTTCGCTGGGATAGGTAGGTATGGTCACCTATTGCCATCGAGTATTATAAATCCCACTCTTTTCGTCACTTCTTCACTCACGTCCTTTGACACAAAGATCAACATAAGGAAAGGGGGAAAAACACATCAAAAACATATAACAACAGGGATATCGCAGTGGTCACCCGTCTGGCTACTAGTCCCACGCTTACTACTCATCAACGGCGCTTCTCACAGAGTAAACAACAACCTTACTAACATGCATCCAAACAAGACACGAACTATCCAATTCCCTGTACATCAAACATGACAATCATACCAACACTACCTATGCACCACAACACCCGCCCCATCACCCATTCCCCTTATCTTGCCCTCGACCACACGCTCCGCAAGTCCCAAGTCGGTACAAATCTCATCAAAGCAATGCATGCCATCCAGGAACTTGAGTAAAGGCAGGCCGCTCGTGTCGCGCTCATCAATGATCCCGCTATTATGCAGAAGCTGATGGTGAGCGTCATCGGTTTTAGGCGCGCCAAGGTGGTGCGGACTCGATTGTTGTTGCTGTTGGAGGTGCTGAGGCGTGATGGATGCGATGCTGGGTTTGTGGATGGAGAAGGACGGGTGATGATGGTGGTGGATACTAGGCTGAGAAGCATAGTGGATGCGGTCGGTGCCGCGGATGGTGGTGGTGTCCGAGTCGCGGAGGTTGGCGAGAGAAGTGGCTGTGCTTGTTTGTAGGCTGGTCGGGGGTGCGGGTGGGAGAGTAGACGATGTCGCGATTGCGTATTTGTGTACGCGGTAGAGGAAGCCTTTGATGACGCCAAAGGTGATGAGACGGCGCACGTCGATGCCAGAGAGGAGGTCCAGATTCTCCAGTACCCAGTTCTTTAGCGTTAAGCCCTGGCGCAGTGAAGTGTATAGTGTAATCAGGGTCTCATGGCTGGTCTGTATGGCTTTTTCCTCTTCCTCTTCTTTCTTCTGTGCTGCAATGTGGGCATCGAATTCCGAAATCTTGAGCGTAGACCCTACCGCTTCGCTGAGCTGTGATGCAGAAGAAGAAGAGATGGAACTGCGCCCGTCTTGGCTCAGATCTGTAGACTCGCTATCCATCCAGACGGATTTCGCGTTAGGTCCCAGCTTCATCCTCGGCACCCTGACATAGCGCATACATTCGTCCTTTACCTCTGCATCTACAATGAAACCACCGATCTCTGCTGTCGGTGCATAGATTGCCCCAAAACTGAAAATATCCAGCAATACCAGACATCCATAATATACCAAATGCTGGATCGCTTTCCGTGTCAACGAGAGATCAGTATCTGC